TTCCCCCTTTTGAAATTAAATGCCACAGTGTTGGGCTGTTGAGATGTTCTTCCCACCACAGGGATGTTGAATGCTATTGTATTATGGTCACTATTTCCAATAATATATTTAGATCTATTGCAGTAAATGGGTGAAATTATGTGGCCTATATTACATAGGGGGTCAGACTAGATGATCTAATGATCCCTTCTGGCCTTAAAATGTCTGAAACTATGAATTCTTTTTCATTCTTCTGCCTAATGGTGCCTGTTTACCCTGGTACTGCATATGCATGCTCACTCTAACATGCATGGGGTGCAATAGATCTAAATATATTATTCAGAAACTATACAAAATGCATATCTAATAAACAAAATTGGAATGAGTGGGGTATATGATGCTAGGGGAGGAGGTGGAAGATGATAAATGAAATTTATTTGCTTTATATTTTCTTCAGATGTTTTCCTCATTTGCTATTGGTAGATGTCCTTCTAGTTTACTTTTTCTTGTACTTTACAGATTTGCACTGGCTATTTTTCTGAGAGATACATATAGCTAATTTCATCCATTATGTTAGTGAGCATATTTGTTTTGTAGTATGGTTACCTCAAAAATTATTTGGATAACTGGTGGGTGTTGTAGGGGTGAGGAAATGTGTGGTCACAGATTAACCAATACTCACTATTTCAAATAGCAAGTTCTGTTTCTCCTAAAGGCATGCAGTAATCCTTATTTGCTGTGTTTTATTGTTAAACATAAGCTTCTTGGAGTTATGCTGCTGTTGCTCTTGTGGAATGTATTTCAGTTTTTCTCATTAGACATAAATAACTTTGATCTCCAAAACCTGTCACTTATTTTCAGAGTGTTTGAAATATGAGCTTTATGTATTAATCCACCCCTTCAGGATGTGGGACAGCCAATCAGGATCCTGCTGCAGTGAAAATGATCCTTTCAATGAAATTACAGGCTTCCACTAGATAGCTACTCTAAAAGTGTTACAGTATTCCCATTGCTGTTTTACCTCCTCCCTCCCACCCCATATAATCTTCTGTCCTTGTTTTCATATGTATACACAATTATATGTATAATTAGGTTATTCAAGGGCTATATATTTTGTAATTTGATTGGTATGCACTCACAAAATTCTCAACATAAATGTGTAATGAGAAAAATATCTTAAGATGTTATCTATTTAGTACTAGGAAAGGAGGGATGTTTGATTCCTTTCTGTCTACTACAAACTGGAAAACTTTTGCTTTTCCTTCTCTCTGAGACTGGGAAACAACCCACAATAATGACATCCCTTCTTTATCTTTAGAACAGGTGCAAAACCAACTGACCTTCCCTAGAGAGATAAGGTATGGGAATGAGAAAGAGATAGATGAACTTTGGATCAAACGTTATCCAATTCATTTAAAGGTTTAAACTGATCCAGGTTTGGCAATCACTTTCCCAGGCAGCAGACAAGAAAAACTGACTTCATGATCACAGTCACTCTATCATATAAACCTTAAAGAAACAAACAAAAGCAAAGTTCCTGGAATACAAATCCAGAGAGTACATCAGCAAAAGCAATTTCATTACTCTTTTTACTCATGGGTAAATACTTCTATCAGAGGTCCATCCTGCAACTGGGTCTGCATGAGCAGATTCCTGCTCCCACACAGAACTTCACTGACTTCATGATCGCAAATGGGTTCTCCCATGTGGAATCAGTTGCAGGACTGGGAAAATGCGTGCACCTGGCCTACACCAGTATTACACTTCTGGTGCTAGCATTGTTGCAATGTTTCCCATTGGTGTTAACGGTTAGGTACCATGCTAGTGCAAATAAGGTCAAATTGTGATTACTGAATATGAAAAAGTGTCATTAATACAAAAGTGTAATTAATACAAAATCTTTTAATTTTGTTTATGTGAATGAAGCAAAAGGTGATATCCTGAAAGGTCCTGACTTGACACCCAGCTAACTGGTGAGTTTGATCCACAATCAGATGCCGCAAGGACAGCAATGGAGCTAGCTGTCCCACCTTAGGCCTGTGTTCTGACAGGGAGATACCAGCACTAGTGGGGAGAGTTCAGTCTCCTTATACATTCAGTTCTGGGGCTTCTCTGCTGAGGCTGACAATGCCAGGGTGCAAGTTATGATGGTGGGTTATGATTAAGGGGGAGAGAGAGCTCAGTGGTTTGAGCATTGGCCTACTAAACCCAGGGTTGTGAGTTTAGTCCTTGAGGGGGCCACTTAGGGATCTGGGGCAAAATCAGTACTTGGTCCTGCTAGTGAAGGCAGGGGGCTGGACTCAATGACCTTTCAAGGTCCCTTCCAGTTCTAGGAGAGAGGATATCTCCATTTATTTGGGTATATTTACTCTAAATTATCACTTTTATTATCTGTGTTATGGTAGAGAACCCAAACTAGACTGTGACCCTGTTGTACTAGGTGCTGTACAAACACATAGTAAGAGACAGCCCAGGCCTCAAAGAGTTTAGGATCCAAATAGGCAAGCTAGATTAAGGCTAAGAGGGGAGGAAAGAGAGGCATGAGTGACTTGCCCAAAGTCATAGGAGGGAACTGGTGACTAGAGTGAGAAGCACCCACATTTGATTAAAGAACTATGCAAGCCACATGATCCATCTAGGAGTGTGACACTGTGTATGAGCAATATGGGAAATGTCTGATTGCAACACACCTTTGCAAAATCATTTTTTAGAGGCGGGAGAGGCTTTCAAAATTCAAACTGCTTCACAATTAGATCTCTGGTGAGGTGGTCTTCCGCCTCCCAAGTGACTGGCAGTCTGGGACCCCTGCAGGGCATGTCTTTGTGTCAGCTGGTGGTCCCTTTCCCGCATCTGCCTCCTGTTTCAGCTTTTTGGAAGAGAGGAAAGAGGCTGGGAAACAGGAATCCCTCCAAACGCCTTCCTCCATTCCCAACCAGCAGATGGCCCCCTTGGTCTCTCTCTCTGCAGGTTATGTGACTCTAGCGAAAGCAAGGAGGGGCTGCTTAATGCCCCTAATCTGTCCTCTCTCCCTCTGCGCATGGTGTGTGCAGAGAAACTCTCCCTGCGGCGGGCAGGGCTGCCAACATGTCTCCCTGAAGGAGATGTTCTTGGCGGCTGGCAGGCGTGCGCGTGTGGCTCCCTCTCCCCCGGCACCTCGCGGGTGGGAGTGCGGGAGCTTCCCGGCCGCTGATCGCTCTCGCGAGGTGAGGCGAGCGGCTCTGGCTGGGGCTGCGTAGAGCCCTCCCCGGGGCTGGGCTGCGCTGCGCTGCGCTGCGCTGCGAGCCGTGCGGGACCGGCCGGGGGCGAGGCATTTCCACCTCCGCCCACGCCTTCCGCTGGCACCTCGGGGCCAGTAGGTGCCCGCTTGGCGGGGAGGGAAGGGGGGAGCCGGGAACAGAGGGCGGCAGGAGGAGGGGACTGCAGGGGAGCGAAGAAGGAAGGAGCCGCGGGGCTGAGCGCTGTATCCGCCCGGCGTTCCTGGCTGACCCGCCCCTGGAAAGACCCCGGCACCGGAGCCAGGAGGAGCCATGTAGCAATAACCCATTGAGCTCGTCCAGCGCAGCCACTTGTTTCCCCCGCAAACCAGCCGCTCTCGCCCCCATTTTGCTGGCGCGGGGAAGAGGGAGCGAAGTAGTTTCGCCAGCCAGCCGCAGCGCCGCCGCCCCTCGCCCGCGCCACGATGAGCGACGAGAGCTCCGAGGTGCCCCGGGAGCTGCTAGGTGAGCCCCGCGTTTCTCCCCTCCGGGTGTGGGTGTGTGTTTGGGGGGCACGTCTGTTTGTAAGGGTGGGGGAAGGCATGGCGGCGGGGAGGGGGGGGGGTCTGAGCCTTCTGGAGGTGGGGAAGTTTTGAGGCCATCGGGCGGGTGGCGCTGGTCATTGCCCGCCCCAGCCGTGCCGTGGGGAGGCGTGGTGGGGAAGGTGCCGTGAGGGCGAAGGTAGGGTGGGGAGGGGAAGTCAGCGAGGGAAAGCCATGCTGCGGCTCCTGTTTTTTGGCATTGCTGCTGGAGAGATTTGCTACTGGGGGGGATTACAGCCTTTGAAGCCCTAGAAATAGCAGCCCAGTCCCGTGCGTTCAGCAGCTGTAAGCCAACAAAAACCGGAGTGAAAACACCGCATTAACCATTTCAGTGGCTGAAAAGTAGACAGTGCATGTCCCCACCCTGGAAACGTATAGTGACTTTCTACATGGGCCTTCATGACAGCACAGCGTACAGCAGTGGTTCTCGACGGGGTACACCGAGCTCTTCCAGGGGGTACTCAACTCCTCTGGATCAGTGTTTCTAAACCTAGGGGTTGTGACTCCCAGAGGGGTCACGGGATGGGTTTAGAGGGGTTGCGTTAGGGGGTGGCAAGCAAGCCAGTTGTCCAGGGCCCCACACCAGAGAGGGCTCTGCAAGGGCAAGTTACATGCTTCAGCCCCAGGTGATGTGGTTCTGGCTTCAGCCCTGCTATGTAGGGCACAGGCTTCAGACAAGGCTCACAAGTGGAAAACAGGAAGACAAATCAGCCTCCTGAAAGTAGTACAGTAGTCTGGAAACTACCTGAAAGCGGTACAGTAGTCTTGAGAACCACTGGCATACACTGTGTCAAGGTTGCTATATATAAACGGCAAGCCTTGAAAGGAGTAGCCTATAGATTCAGCATGGAAAGCAAGCGGTTAAAGGTCTGTTGTTTTTATTTAACTTGCAAGAGCAAGAAAATTTATAGTTTAAAACTACTCTTAACCTCTCCATCTCCTTCTATGCCCTTATGCATAGCTATGGTGCCATATGCAATTGTTTGGAGCCCTTTGAAATACGTTTCAGAGTAACAGCCGTGTTAGTCTGTATCCGCAAAAAGAAGAACAGGAGTACTTGTGGCACCTTAGAGACTAACAAATTTATTAGAGCATAAGCTTTTGTGGACTACAGCCCACTTCTTCGGATGCATATAGAATGGAACATATATTGAGGAGATATATATACACACATACAGAGAGCATAAACAGGGGGGAGTTGTCTTAATTAATTAATTGGCCTCTCAGAGTTGGTAAGACAACTCCCCCCTGTTTATGCTCTCTGTATGTGTGTATATATATCTCCTCAATATATGTTCCATTCTATATGCATCCGAAGAAGTGGGCTGTAGTCCACAAAAGCTTATGCTCTAATAAATTTGTTAGTCTCTAAGGTGCCACAAGTACTCCTGTTCTTCTTTTTGAAATACGTGTGCATAGAGGTGTGAGGGAGGGAGGATATTTCAGAGAGCCTTAACTTTGACATTTTCCTAGCTTTTGACATGTTAGAGCACACGCTTCATTTTATTCCAGCATATATATCTTTTTGTAATTCAGTTCTCTGGGAATGCAGTGCATAAGGTAATGTACAAAGAAAAAGAGTATTTAATGTTTTTTACTCTTCACAAATCACAACTCATCACAAGTGGTGCTAAAGCTACTTGGGAGCGTCTACGCCATGAATTAAAAGTATAGTAGGTGGTGGGGCTAGGTGTAGACAGAGAACATTTTGAACCATCAGCTTTTTTTTTGGCCTGCCTTTAAAACAGCCAAATGTATTTAACTATTGAGCAGTTAGCATGTGTTAATGTTGTAAATGGATTTCCACTATAAATTAATATGTGATGGGTTAAGGTGTGTCACCTATGCTAAGAGAACCATGGAACAAAGCTGAGTCATTATGACACCACTTCCACAAATAAGACATTAGATTGTACCATAAAGTACCAACATCTGACACTAACTTGAGTCAGATTTCAGAATTTTGCTCTGATCTTGCAAGCTTATCTACATAGGCAGACTTGCTATTGCAAGTTAAATAAAAACAACAGTCCTTTAATCACTTGCTTTCCATGCTGAATCTACAGGCTACTCCTTTCAAGGCTTGCCGTTTATATATAGCAACCTTGACACAGTGTATGCCAGTGGTTCTCAAGACTACTGTACCGCTTTCAGGTAGTTTCCAGACTACTGTACTACTTTCAGGAGGCTGATTTGTCTTCCTGTTTTTCACTTGTGATCCTTATCTGAAGCCGGTGCCCAGCGTGGCAGAGCTGAAGCCCGAGCCCCATCATTCCGGGTTGAAGCATGTAACTTACCCTTGCAGAGCCCCCTGTGGTGTGAGGCCCTGGGAAACTGGCCTGCTTGCCACCCCCCCCCCCCTCACTGAGAGCCAAATATACTGCAGTGGGGCTCTGCATGGGTCCAGGGTTCTGTTTACACAGATCAGCATATAGTATTGGGGGGCCTTAGTGCCCTGTGTCTAATTCGTATTTTTGTTTGCTTACCTAATTTATGATGACGAGAACACTCTGGTCATAGTGGAGTATTTCATAAGGAGGAAAAATTTATTTTCTTGCTAGACCATCAGGATTCCCTAGTGATCTGAGAGCTCTGTGAAAAGGACATTGAGCAAAACTTAATGGGTAAAACACAATGGCTAAACTGGGAATCTGGAAGCTTGAATTCTAGTCCCAGTTCTGCCACATGCTTCCTATGTGACCTTCAGCAGGTCACTTGGGACACAATATTCAAAATTGTCTGTGCTAATTTTGAAACACTTGCAGCCTGGTTTAAGAGGTGCTTGTGTCTCAGATTGTCTCCATTTCTGGGTGCCCAATCAAAATAAGTGAGTACTTGAAAATTTGGGCCTTAGCTTCCTGTTGCCACAGATTTCTGGTCTGTAAAATGACTTGAAAAATGCACTTGCTAGTGATGGGTAGGAAACTTTCTTTATGTGGGGAATTCTGTAAAATGTTGTATTTGAAACAAGTTTCTAGCTCTTAGTTACAAAAAGAACCTTAGTGTGAATTGGTGCTGTGAATTTTTCCTGAGTCTCTACTCCAGTGCCTCTGATGGTCCTTTATAGCTTTCCCAGTCAACAGCCTGTAAAATGGACAAGTTTGTAAATCAGTTTCACTGTTGCTCTTTAAAACCCTGTGTGAAACAGACAAGAATCAAGTCAACTTCAGTCTGCTGCTGCTTGACAAAGCTGTGAACAGGGCAGAAGCATTTGGAGCTATTAACTGGGGAGGAGGAATCAAAAGATAAGGCTAGGGTGAGGCTGGGTAAAGTTGTAGAGATACCACCAATACTCCTCTCACAGCAGCCATGTGGCCTGGAGGGACTGAGTGTCTGACTACCACTGTCTGGAAAACAGAATTCTCCTCCTGAAAAAAATGTCACGTATTTTGAAAAAATGTTCATCCCAAATTGGCAGGGTGGATTTGATTTAAATCAAAATGATATAAATCACAATTTAAATCACTATTCAGGAAGACTTGATTTAATCATGGATTTCTACATAAAAGTGTATTCTTGTTGGTTGTTATAACCTTAATACATATTCTTCACAACTCAGAGATAAGTATAGATTTAATTTTTAGAAGGTACACACTATACATTTTTAAAGTGATTTATTTTGAAAATTTTCAGATTAGTTTTACAGCTATATCAGAAAATGAATGATTGTTTGGTTATTTAATTTACCAAAGGTAATTGAAGCAGATAGTTCAGCTCCCAATGACTTCATAAATATCTCCAATTCAACAGGTTAATCATTAATATCTGGAGGATTTTCTTGCCATGCTGTATTAGGAGGAGAACATCACCAGACAGGCATTTAAATTGTTTTATTTAACTAAAACAACAATGTTATGTAGTCTGGATTATTTTTCTTCAACAGCATATAATATTTTAACAAAACAAGCATATGGAATTTTGAATTTAAACATTCAAGTTTTTTAAAATTGGGTTTGTTTTTGTTAAAATTGTTTTTAACTAAAATAGTTAAATGAAATATTAAAAAAAAAAAATTAACTGACCATGTCAGCCAGGTAAACATGAGAAACTTAAAATATTGGCTTCTGCAGCTAACTCCGTCATCTTCACCTTAATTTTCCTGTTTGTTCATAATCTGGCAAAGAAAAACAAGTTTTCCTGCTTTTTCAGGTCCCAAACAATTTCTCAATTTGGAATGAATTAGTCCAAAGGAAGAAAATAGTCTCTCTACACCGGCAGAAGAAGCTACTTCTGTTAAAAGTGAGATTCACTTGAACAGTCTCTGAATCCAAGTACTTAAGTGACTTCCACCAGTTCACTGGTGTGACTTTCTTTAAAACATCATCAGCAAACATGTATTTCTTGAATGATTCACTCTTAGCTCTGAAGTTTATTATAGTTGGCATTATGGAGGAATGATTGCTTGTCATAGCCAACTCCTCTTCTTCAGCAGTTAAAGTTTGACCCAGGTACCGAGTATTGAGACTATTTGCAAGAAAATGAGCTGGAGATAGTGCTTGTCTCATTTGTTTTTTTAATGCTTGTAATTTAACTCTGTCATTGCATATTTCTCTTCTTAAGATCTCACTCAGTTCCTTCCAGATTTCAACAGTGTCAGCAATAAAACAGCTATTTCCCTGCATTTTGTTCAAGGCTACAGAAATAGGCTTCAGGGTACTCAGCATGTGTTCAACATTTCTCTTTGGCTGTGACAGTGCCATCTATTTTTTCATGATTTTGTTCACAAACTGTCATCAGATTAGGCCAGTTCTTGATATAGTGCTCAAAACAGTCCACTACTGAGTTCCAGCGCACGTCTTGTGGGAGAGTTTGCTTGGTTCCTCCCACTCTTTTCAGAGCAGCTGCTGCAAAGTGGTTGTTATGAAAGTATTTTGCAATTTCACCAACATTAGCCTCTATTTCTGGAACACTGAAGTCTTTGGCTAGCAGGTGCATCAAATGAGCACAGCTTGTGACTCTCTTCACTCTTCTAAATAATTTCTTCTCATCTTGGATGCATTTGCAGCATTGTCTGTGACCAAGCTGCATACTAGACATTTGAATTTTTTTTCACAGTTTGTTATAGCTTTTACTGCTGCTACTTGTAAGTATTCTGCTGTGTGTGCATTTCTGGATGTATCAATTGTTTCTGTAGGGAAGACATTTCCCTTCTTCTGTTGTCACACAAGCACATACAACAGGATCATTGTGGACATTGCTCCACCCATCAAGACTCAGGTTAACAATTTTACCCTCTAGACCTTTTGCATACTGCTCAATTTCTCTTTCATAAACTTTATCCAGCAATTTGCCTGCGTCATCTGCTCTGTTGGGTGGACTGTGTCCTGATCTTAATGTCTGAATCATGTTAATGAAGTGTGGGTTCTCAATCATAGGAAAAGGAGAGTTTGTTGCATGAACAAAATGGGCAATTTTTTTTATCAATTACCTCTTTTTGTAATCTGTTGGGTCTTATCACAAACTTATCTATGGTTGTTTCTGGATGATGGAGTTTTTTTTCCTTTTGCTACAGGTGATATACTGTAGCTATATATATATATATTATTTTTTTTTTGCTACAGTTGATATACTCTGGCTATGCGATATACATGATGTGACTGAAACACTCTCATTGGCAGATAACTCTGAAACTATAGAAGATGATGATGATGATCTTGAAGTTGGATAGTCCTCAGAATCCTGTATGTTGAGGATGGATTCTCCTAAACAAAATAAGTCAGCGCAGTTATTTAATTATTATTACCATACTGTTCATTTAGTATTACTCATTGCATTCACTGACACTCAATACTACTTTAAAGGTGAAATTGTAAAAAGACGATCTGCCTATTTCAGCTATTTATTTTTTATCACAACTGCATCTAAAATGATAGTACCATAGAGTAACAACTATATTTTTTGCTCAGACATGAGAATTCAAGAGTCGTCGAGAAGGAAGATAGGCAGTCCTTAAGAAAGAAGTATGAAATAAAAAAGTTTACCAGCCTGAAGATCCTGCATGTTCAGACATGTTCCTTTCATCATCTTCAAGGCAGCTTCCTCCTGAGAAGGAACACTTCTCATGATGTTGTTTCATTCGGGCAACCAGGCCTTGCGTTTCTTTGTTGCGCTGTTTGCATTTTGCACCCAGCCCTGCTTACCCACAGGTAGAGGAACCTCATTAAAATATTCCCAAAGTGGGTCTCTTTTATGGCCTGCTGCCATTATAGGTTTTCCCTTCTAGTGAGAGAATGGTATGGTAGATCTCAAATCAATGAAGGCTACACTCAGAAAGACCTCAAGACTTCTGGAATATGTTGCTCAAACAGTTTCACTTTTGTTTCTACTGCCTGTCCCTCCCTTCTCACATTTATCTCCAGACTTCTCCTTGTCCAGATCTATTCCGCCCCCAACAGTCTTCTATTCATTGAACTTTTTGAAACTTTGCACTTTTAGAGAGATGTAAGGGATTGACTCTGTGTACACAGATTTGCATAGGGTTACCATACGTCCGGTTTTTCCCGGACATGTCCCGCTTTTCGGCAATCAAACCCCCGTCCGGGGGGAATTGCCAAAAAGCCGAACATGTCCGGGAAAAATACGGACAGGCACTTCCTCTCCCGCGGCTGCTCTGCTCCTCCCCTGACTCAGACTTCGGCTCTGTTTAAGAGCCAAGCTGCCCGAGCCAGTGCTACCGGCTTCAGGCAGCCCCCTTTCCTCCGGACCCCAGCCGCCGGCCGGGCACTTCTCCTCCCCAGCTCCAGCTGCTTTGCTCCGGCGGCGCAGGGTCCGGAGGCAAGGGGGCTGCCCGAAGCCCGTAGCGCTGGCTCGGGCAGCTTGGCTCTTAAACAGAGCTGAAGAGTCAGGGGAGGAGCACAGCAGCTGGAGCCCGGGAGGGGAAGTGCCCGGCTGGGGGTGCAGGGTCCGGAGGAATAGGGGCTGTCTGAAGCCCGAGCGCTACCGGCTTCATGGTTTGCCGGGCAGCCTCCAGACCCTGGCAAGTAAATAACTTTTCCTTATTCACTTTCTCTATACCACTCATGATTTTATATACCTCTATCATATCCCCCCTTAGTCTCCTGTTTTCCAAGATGAAAAGTCCTAGCCTCTTTAATCTCTCCTCATATGGGATCCGTTCCAACCCCCTAATCATTTTAGTTGCCCTTCTCTGAACCTTTTCTAATGCCAGTATAACTTTTTTGAGATGAGGAGACCACATCTGTACGCAGTATTCAAGATGTGGGCGTACCATGGATTTATATAAGGGCAATAAGCTATTCTCCATCTTATTCTCTATCCCTTTTTAATGATTCCTAACATTCTGTTTGCTTTTTTGACTGCCACTGTGTGGACTTCTTCAAAGAACTATCCATGATGACTCCAAGATCTCTTTCCTGATTAGTTGTAGCTAAATTAGCC